TACACACACACACACACACACACACACACACACACACACACAGCATCTTACATGGGGTATGGCCATCCTGCAATCCCTTCTCTTCTGTTTCTCATTTGGGAATTTTTGGCATGCATGCATGCATACATACCCTTATCAAGCTGCCACATCCAGGACTGAGACCCCACAGTCGGCCATGTGGAATCCAGTCACCTTAATCACCAGGCCATGAGCTGGCTTGGAAGTGCTTTTCTAATGAAACCAAGTCATGGAACTTCACAGGCTAAAGTTCTTCAGGTAGCATGACTATCTCCAAAGAGTTAAAAATTAGTTGCTGCTAGTTTTTTGGTTTTTGTTTTGTTTTTGAGAGAGATTTTTGCTATAGGGCACATGTGCTTACTGGAAAGACAGAGACAGAAAGTAAGAAATCACCCACCAGGGGGATGGTCACACAGCAATCCTTTTTCTTCTGTTCTCCTCTCAGGATTTTGGGAACATACACACATATGCCCAGCATGAGTTTTAAGCCACCGGGCCCCGGACTAGAACCATGGTTGACTTCATGGGAGTCCAGTGATGTAACTATTATGCCATCTGCTGATCCCATGTTGCTGCTAGTTTTTTATCTCCCTAGTCACTCATAGATTAAAAATAATTTATATTTACTTTAATATGTATGCAAAAGAAAAAAACGGAAAGAACCCCTACCATGCTGTTACTATAGCCCTCTTAAGTACTGAATTCTCAATGGGCTTCTTGTGACAAAAGAAAAACAATTTAGGGCCAGTTGGTAGCAGGGTGGCTAGGCAGCTGGATCCCACATGGCTGACTGTATAGTATGAGTCCTGGAATCAGAAGTTTGAAAAACACATGAGCATGCATGCCCAAAATCCCAAGAGGAGGAGGAAATGAAGGAGAAAGGATTGCCACATGACTATCCCCTATGGGAGGGTGCTTTCTCGCTTTCCTTCTTTCTCTGCTTCTCTCCAACAAATGTACTCACCCTCTGACAATTTTTTTTAAATCATCTATATATTTATTTAAATGTCATATACAATATTGAACTCTTATAATGGCAGCTTAAGTGGAATGACCCCTGGATTCTGTCTTCCTGAAATTAGCTTCTTCCCTCATATCTGCTTTCATGAACTTACCTATAGCCAAAAACCCTATTTGCTCTCAAGTTACTCTGGAGCCCATAGTCTCTATAGCTGGTTGTGCGTGGCAAGAGGCCATTGGCCCTGGGTAATCAAGGCAACCAGCAGCCTCCAATTAATGTATCCTTAGCATTACAGTCATTTTTGTAAAACTTTTAAAGAATTATTTATTTTTTTAAATTTATCATTATTATTGTATAATTTGCTATAGGGCATGTGTGCTTACCAGAGAGATATGGGGAGTGGGGGAGGGGGAGTAAGAAAACAAGCTGCCAAGTCTAAAACTCGAACCAGAGTTGGCCATGTGGTAGTCCAGCACCTTTCCCACTACACTACTGGCTGGCCCCAGCATTATAGTCATTTCTAACCCCTAGATCCTGATTTTTTACCTAGTCCTGCGGAAACATCTGAACACAGATTCTGGGCTTTATTGACTGAGTCACCCTAAGTCAGTTTACTTCTCACTATATGTCTTTAGGTATTTTTATTTATCTAAAGTGCAATTTAAGTTTAATGTTTCCTAAATAATTCGGGACCAGCAGTTAGTGTAATGGCTATGTCGCTGGACTCCCACATAGTCGACCACGGTTCGTGTCCCGGACCTGGTGGCTTAAAACTCACGCCAGGCGCGTGTGTGTGCGCGCCCAAGATCCCGAGAGGAGAATGGAGGAGAAGAGATTGCGGTGTGGCCATACCCCCTAGGGGGTGATTTCTCACTTTCTGTCTCTCTGTCTCGCTCTGCCTGTCTGGCGAGCACACGCACCCTATAGCGAAAACCTCTCAAAAAAAAAATAATTTTCTGTCTGGATGATCTGTCCTTTACTGAAAATGAGTGTTGATCTTTTTATGGTTCATAAGCATGATGATTAGCTTTTTACACCACTGTGAGATGTGGCTCACTCAAATCTTGTTGCAGCATCAGCACAGTACCCATCTGACAAGAAGAAAAGAAGAAGAAAAAAAAAGAAAGTGGGGGTATTGAAGTCCCCCACTGTTAATGTATCACGGTCTCTATCTTCTTTCAGATTGAATATTTGCTACATATATTTAGGTCCTCTGGAGGAGAGTGTATATTAGGGGACTTCAAAAATGTCATAGAAAAGTGCAATTAAAGTACAAGTTTATTTTGGTGCAAAAAATTAAAACCCATGCATAGTTTTTTCATAATATACATTTTTCGTGAATTTTTTAAGATCTCTTTCCCCCCCACACACGCACACACATACTGATTAGGGTTCAAGCAGAGAAGCAGAACTGCTATATTATGGAGTAAGGAATTTTAAAAAAAAAAGATTTGCTAGAGGGCACATGTGCTTTCCAGAGAGACAGAGAGGGAAAGTAGGAAAGAAT